CTCTTGCTCTCTTTCACCCCCCCTCTCTACTCTCTTCTCTCTCTCTCTCTCTCTCTCTCTCTCTCTCTCTCTCTCTCTCTCTCTCTCTCTCTCTCTCTCTCTCTCTCTCTCTCTCTCTCTCTCTCTCTCTCTCTCTCTCTCTCTCTCTCTCTCTCTTCTCTCTCTCTCTCTCTCTCTCCCTCTCTTCTCTCTCTCTCTCTCACACACACACACACACACACACACACACACACACACACACACACACACACACACACCACACACACACACACACACACACACACCACACACCACACACACACACACACACACAACACACACAAACACACACACACGCAAGCAAGTCCCCATCTCGACGCCCGCCCACGCGCCCACGCTAGACCATTACTCTTCCTTCCACACGTTCACACCCTCCCCTTCCGCCCATGCTAGTCCTGTACACGCACAAGGTCCATTAACTAGCTGTCACTAATGGCTATTGGCCTCAGCCGCCGCCTTAGCGTACTTCTCCCTCTCTCTCTCTCTCCCTCTGTTTAGCCCTATCTCTATCCTGGCTCTTTCTCCCTTAGTTTAGTGCTATCTCCTTCCCCTCGGTTTCTCTCTCTCTCTCTCTCTCTCTCTCTCTCTCTCTATTTTCCTTCAGTCTCCTCTCTGTCTCTTTCCCTCTTACTCTCTCAGTTTTGTGCTATCTCTTTCCCCTCTCTCTCCATCTCTATTTCTCGCTCAGTTTGGTGCTATCTCTTACCTCTCTGTCTCTTTCCCTCTTCCCATCTCAGTTTAGCGCTATCTCCTTCCTCTCTCTCTCCTTCGCTATTTCACTCTCAGTTTAGCGCAATCTATATCCTGGCTCTTTCGCCCTCTCTCATTCTCGCTTGATTACTCTCTCTCTCTCTCTCTCTCTTCTCTCTCTCTCTCTCTCTCTCTCTCTCTTCTCTCTCTCTCTCTCTCTCTCTCTCTCTCTCTCTCTCTCTCTCTCTCTCTCTCTCTCTCTCTCTCTCTCTCTCTCTCTCTCTCTCTTCTCTCTCTGTCTCTCTCTCTCTCTCTCTCTCTCTCTCTCTCTCTCTCTCTCTCTCTCTCTCTCTCTCTCTCTCTCTCTCTCTCTCTCTCTGTTCTATCTCTGTGCTTTCTTCTCTATCTGTATTCTGTCTCTCTCTTCTCTCTCTCTCTCTCTCTCTCTCTCTCTCTCTCTCTCTCTCTCTCTCTCTCTCTCTCTCTCTTCTCTCTCTCTCTCTCTCTCTCTCTCTCTCTCTCTCTCTCTCTCTCTCTCTCTCTCTCTCCCTCCTCTCTCCTTACACATAACACAACCAACAAGCATACATCTATATAGATCTTCTGCGATCTACATATAACTGTTCTCCATCTCCATTTCTATTCATAAGGAACCATTAATAGCATCTATCTATTCTCTTTTTTCTCTACATGTATATCATAATAAGTCCCTTGCAGGTTTGCTTTCCGTCAATGCTAAGGATGATAAATAAATTGACAGATAGAAACATAGACAGTTAGGTGGACAGATAGATAGATAGGTTAGATAAGAGAGTAATAGATCGATAGGTAGATAGATAGATAAATAGATAGATAGATAGACAGATAGATAGATAGATAATAGATAGATAGAGATAGATAGAGATGATGAATAGAGAGATAGAGAGATTGTGAGGCAAATAAACAGTTATATAGATGGATTCATAAAAAGATAAATAGATATCTATACACATAGTTGGATAGGTTGACCAGTTAAGTAGATAGGTATTTACTCAGACATAAAAAATACATCAATAAAAACAAAAAGGAAATCTAGACAAAAAAAAAGAAAACAAAACACATCAAAAGATAAATCCCATACTATTTCTATAAATCAATAACTTCCTCAAAGTTTGTTATCCTTTTCTTCCCTTTCCTAATTCGTTTATCGGGCCGTCGCATTATTCCCTCTATTTATTCTCCTTCTCGTATTGATTTGTATTCGTTTTCCGTATCAGTGGGATAAGCCAGCTATTTACGGAGATATTTCTTTTCTTATTTTTTCCCTATTTCCTTCGTCGCGAAAGGAGAGGAAGGGGAGAGGACACGGAGAAAGGGGGGAAGGAAAACGGGAGAGAGGAAGAGAGAGGAAAGAAGTGGAAGGGAAAAGAAAGAGTAGGAGGATAATGGATGGAGAGGAAATGGAGAAAAGGAAGAAAATGAAGCTTAAGGGAGAAAAAGGAAGAAAGAGAAACAATGGGAGAAAGGAAAGAAAAGAATAAGAAACAGAGGGTAAGAATAAGGAAGACGTGAGAAGAATAGGAAAGGAGAGAGAGAGAGAGGAAAGCGAGAAGAGAGGAAAGAAAAGCGAAGAGAGGAGAGAGAGAAAGGGGAAAAAAAGAGAGAGAAGAGAAAGAGAGAGGACAGAAAAAAGAGAGAGAGAGAGAGAACGAGAGAGAGAGATAGAGACAGAGAGAGAGAGAGAGAGGGAAAAGAGAGAGAGAGAAGAGCGAGAAAAGAGAGAGACAGAGAGAGAGAGAGAGAGAGAGACGGAAGAAACGACAATATTTTCCCGACGATCACCCTTCACCCTCACTCTTAAGCCGCATCAAGATCCCTTGGGAGAAACCCGGGACTCTTCTCCTGCATAGTAACTATCCTTCAGGTGGGTATGGA